GGGGTGGTTTCGGCGGGGCCGGGGGTCCAGGTGCCTTGGAGGGGGAGGATCCAGTTTACTTCGTTTTGCTGGCGGCGGTGTTAGTGAGGGCTGCTATCAAAGGGGGGCTCCCGTCTTACCATTGTAGCTGTTCTTCCGCTGATGGTTAGAGGCAGCCAGATGTATGTGGAGGCCATGAGGTTGGATGAGATCCAGCGGTCACCCATGTACCTATAGGGGTTAGGATCGTACGGTAATTGATTGAAAAGGGGGTATCACATTACTGTGTCGCCGACTCCGAGGATAAAGGTGGTCTGGGAGTTGAAGGTATTTGATCCGGAGGGCGCAAAGTTTGCCCAGGAGCTCCAGGTGCCGCTGAGGCTCGTGGAAGTGGTGTACTTGTTGTCGTTGGTTGCTATAGACGGGGTCAGTAGAGCTGTGAAGCACGACACGAGGGCACATACCCCATCCTGCAGACAGTTAGCCAGAGTAAACGCCGAGAATGTGGGATCAATTACCTGTCAACTGTGAACCAAAGAGAAAGTACACCCCGTTCTTTTTATACATGGCAGGGGCCTCGATATGCTCCGGGAAGAGGTGCGTCGTAGAAGTCACATTGGTATAGTCGTTGGTCAATTTGTTGATCCTCAATCCGTTCGGACGCTACAGACGTCAGCAGTTTCCCATCAACAAAGTGGATCTTAACATACATCCTCAGAGAGTAGATACGCGGAGCCATCATCATCCTTGAACAAGCCCATATCACGCGACTGCTGCCCCAAAGGCCGGAATGAACCGCTAAACCGGCGAGTTAGAATTAGGCTGCTCATTGCACATCACAGAGTCAGACTTACAGGTAAGTGTACTTCCCACAAACACTCGACGAAGTCGCAACTCCCGTCTTCGCCTCGCCATAGGAACTGTCGTCGATATGCATCCACATTACGTATTTGCGGGTGGCCTCGTTGTAAAGGACCTTGGGCCGCTCGACAACCCGGTTGGGCCCAAGATCACCGCTACTCTGTCGGGAGAGGAGTTCTCCTACATATGTCCATTCCACCAGATTCTGCGGGCGTTAACTGTGAGCTCGGTGGACTACTAGGCCATTAACGTACCTTGCTGGAGTAACAGTTGACAGACTGGAACGCACTCCCGTTGAGCTTGTTTTCGCCGATCCAGTAGTAAGTCGAGTCGATTTCGATGATTCCTGTGGCCGCGAATCTTAACATTATATCCATCCGGAATACTAAGTATGCCTACCTCCGCCATGCGCTTGGACATGCTGGTTAGTACCACTAGCAGTCCATGTAGCTCCGGGAACCTGGCCATGTTAGCACAAGATATCTCACTTCAGCACATTGGGTAGCTAACAATCTGCAGAGAAGCAATAGCTACTCGTGCAAGAGCTAGAGCAGCAATCAGACGGCCTATGAGCAACATCCTGGTAATCCTGTACTCCGCCAGAGATCCTTGAACAGTAACGCCAGACGGGGCAATCCGCTCTGCAAGTCATGAATCCTTTTCTATATATACAGTCTAGAAGCGGGGTCGGCAGAGTATGGAGCCAGGCTTAATTGCGGAGCATTTAGCTATATTGTCTGCAGCCGGACATATTGTCGGACGGCCGGCCGCTGCAGATCGATTTGGAGAAACAAAACCCTACAATCAGCGTTTCACAGGGAGATATGGTGGGCCGAAGACCGGGGGATCTACATGGCCTGAAACATGATCCGGGGTAAGTACATCCGACGAATAGCCCGTTCAGACGGTATTACCAGAAATATGATGCATGCCTGATATAAACGAATCAGAAGACAAATTTCGTACATGCAGATCATGGCTCACAAGGAGATTTACCGAAATGGACTATCAGTCAATAAATCTTCTATATTGAACCACTCAGAGGGAAGTGTGCCCGACTTCTTGAAGCAGTGTTACGTTGTTCCTTAGGCGCGGTTGCTCCGGGGCGAGCATCCTATCAAATTTGGCGGTGTTGCTTTACAGTGCAGCATGGCCCATCGGCACGTGGGCTAACTTCAAAGGGTATGATTGACATTATGACCAGAGCACTGGTGCAGCCAGCATATACAAGGCGAATCTTCATTCAATTCCAGAACTGTCAACAATGGCAAACGCGGGGTAGAATATGTGGGGACGGTCCCCGCGTGGATCCAGTCCTTCAATGGAGCGAATCAGCTTCGTCGTTGGATTGTGTTGCATACCACCACTCGTCCTGTTCAGATGACCTTCCATTTGCGGCCTCATGCAGCTCCGCGCCAATCAGTGTGCGTCTAATTGTAATCATTCCGTCAGGGAACAAGATGGAAAGACTGGAGTGCTGCACAGCCTGAGTACGTCCATCTTAGATCTACAAGCTCACAGCTGCCATCACTCAGAAGTCAGAACATGAACATGACCCAGTGCAAACACCAGCTTCATGAACTATCTTGAACAGTGACCATGCTCCTCAAAGCGGGTGTGAGAATCTCTTTAGCTGCGGGAGTCTGTGCTCCATTCTATGTGCCTTATACACGGTCGAAAGCAACGGCTCAGTACTTATCGAAGACAGTCCAGAGGTAGGCTTAATCAACCTTATATTAGAAATCACGTGGAATCTACCTGCTGAACTAGCTAGTAGAGAATATCCTGCCATCGGCCCGCTATTTCATCTGTATTGATAGAGTCGGATATCGGAGCGTGTGTTATACACAAATGTATCGGACAGTTATGTATGCATGCAAAGCGAAGCTCAAGAGGAGAAGTCGATTATCTGAGCATAATACTGATTATTGACATCTCATTCTGGTCATCATCTGGGCTTCCAGGAGATCACCTCCTTTGTAACGGGCTATAGTCTGCCCCAGTTTTATTGCCTCGCGTAGATATGACGCCGCCTTTGGCACTTTCGCCGGCTTGACGAATGCCTTTGGTCTGCTGTGCATCCTGGTATACCTCTGTGGGAAGACGACCCGTCAACTTACCAGGCGGTTCGCCAAGGATAAGGTGATTGGGTTAGAGTATGCTAGAGGACTTGCCCAGATAATGCATGTATAGGACATAGCCTATAAACAAATAAAGAGAATACTATTTTCAGGAACTCTGAAACTGATTAGAATCTTGTAAAAACCGTCTACTCCCTCAGAATACTGGATTTAGTTGACAGGCAACAGCAACCTCCGGGCTGTGTTCGAGTTGACTGTGGCGGGCAGTACTACTATCCGCAAGCGGGATGACTCGTGTCCGACAGCGTCATCACACTCGACAGAAAACCTCGCGGTCCAATAGAGATTGGAGAGTAGAACGAATACGAGCCTCCGTCTGCCAAGGGCGGGAATGTCCACGCCTGGGACATAGGAATACGGAGGAAAGTTTGAGCCGAGATCGGGATTCCTCCGCAGTATTCACTTACAGCTAACCCTCCAACATATATAAGCAAACCTTCAGGCTGGGGCCGGGTGACCCTTTGTATATAGATTATACAGGCCTTGATTCCATTGCAATCACAGGTGACAACTATACCTCGGATTCCTCGAGAGATCGAGCAATAATCTGCAGCTCACCATCCTCTCCTCACAATGACAGATACTCGAGATACCAAAATCACGCTATACTGGTAACCCAAGTCTACTGCATCGCGCAATGCCAGAAAGGAAAAACGAAACTAACCGGAACCAGGCTGGAAAAGTCCCGTGCCCAACGGATCGTCTGGCTCCTGGAGGAACTCAACGTCCCCTATGAGATCAAGACCTTCAAGCGCAAAGCCGACATGACAGCACCCGATGAATTGAAAAAGATCCATCCGCTGGGTAAATCCCCCGTTGTCACCATCACCACACCCAATAGCCCGGAGCCACTCGTTCTGGCCGAGTCCGCGGTGATCATCGAGTATCTCTGCACCCACTTCGGTGGGGAGAGACTCATTCCGCAGCGATATGCCGAGGGTAAAGAAGGCCAGGTCGGCGGGGAGACGGAAGCGTGGATGCGATACCAGTATTTCATGCATTACACTGAGGGCAGTCTGGCGCCGTTCTTGGTGATGAAGGTGGTTATGGACGGTAGGTCTATACTACATAGATCTCCCCTCGTAAATGATGTACTGATGATTTCTCAGGCGTGAGGAATGCGCCAGTTCCATTTTTCATCAAGCCAGTGACTAGGATGATAGCGTCCAAGGTGGACGGGGCCTTTATCAATCCCAACATCCACACGCATCTTGGCTTCCTGGAAGACCGGCTTAAGACGGCGCCGGGGGGCGGTCCTTATCTTTGTGGAGATAAGATCACAGCTGCTGATATTCAGTTGAGCTACTCGGTCATCGCGGCGTTGTCCAGGCTGGCGTCCCTTCGGAGTCAGTATCCAGGAGTAGCAGCTTATGCTGATCGGTTACAGGCTATTGAGAGCTACAAGCGGGGCGTTGCGCAAATCGAGCGGATTGAAGGGACATTCACAGCTAGTTTATGAACTGGTCAATCTTGCAATACAGCCCGAAAGTCAGCCCTCTTGTGCTATTGTCATAATGGGGAACATGTTGTTGTAATATGTAATTGAGTCAGTTCAGGTGTTGACCATTCCTATGGTTTATGCAAATGGGGAGTACATATATAGATGGATCGTGACAAATTTAACCTTACAAATAATCTAAACTAGGCCATGTAATAGACCATTTCTAAACTAGGCCATGTAATTGATCATTACTACCTATTAAAACCCGATGCCTTTATACGGCGCAGAGATTTGGTTATATAGCTAAATGGGCAGGGAATGGCCAAGCAACAGCATCATTGGTCTAGTGGTAGAATTCGTCGTTGCCATCGACGAGGCCCGTGTTCGATTCACGGATGATGCAATGATATCTTTTTCCCTCTTTCTTTTTCCTTCATTAATCGCTCATCTTTAGTCATTGAAAATTTTGAAGGTTGAATTCACAGTCCAGGTCAACCTCGCCTGGTACAGGTACATTTGACAAACAGGCTCTGACATGTCCATAATAATTGCTAGAGAGCAAACACCGAAGAAACGACTCAGTCCTTGGCGACTGCACTGAGAATGGTCCAGCCACTTGGTGCCGTCTTTCTGATACTCGTATCATTCTTCAAGAAGCAGCGATGGGTGCGGTTGGTGGATGAAGGCGCTGTTTCATCCCAGCTCACTCCCTTGCATTCGGCTCCCTTGATCATGATATTATAACTTACACAGCGCTGGATGCACTGTTCAAGGGAATTGGTCTTGAAGTTTACGAGGTTCTCGTCGGATATGGTGACGCTAGCACAACCACCCGTGTCAGAGCAAAGATCCGTGTGGCATAATTGGATATAGTCCTTTTGCTGGACGGTGATTGTCGTCCCGTTCATCGCCGGACAGCTTGTGACGCTGGAGGTCGCCGAAGACGAAGTCGAAGTCGAAGTAGAGGCCGCCGTTGCGGTCGAGGTAGGGTTGGAGGTACTGTTCCATTGAATACCCGGATCAGCATGGTTCAATCATTCATATACATTCTCTACCTACCCGGAGTCCTTTTTCGCAAAAGAACCGCCTACACCCGCCGCTACAGCAATGACAACCACAGCAACAACCACAGCAATCCAGAAATACCGTCGCCGGAACCCGCATATTGTTCGTGAAGCTTCTTTCACACTTTTGACTTCTTGGCCTTGGCCAACCTCTGTTTCGACTGGTATCGGTGCCTCGGATCCATCTCCGGCGTAGTAGAGGGGTGCATCTCTCTCATACTGCGGAATCAGACCATCGGGTATCACCACTTCAAGACCAGGCTGTTCGGGAGAACTGGGTTCCTTGGTCTGCTTGGTTTCCATCACGGGCAGCACGGAGCTTGTGTAATCAGGACGTTTTGTTCGAGGAAAGTAATGTCAGCCGCATGGGCTTCTGTGGAGCTTAAAAGGCTCTTGGGCCGCTAGCTAAGAAATGTGTGCATGGCATGAGCCGCTCAGGCGGATTAGACAAATATAGTGAGCCAATGGTTTATCTTTATGTTGGTTGGCTATGTGGCTAGTCTCTGGCTAGGCTTAGACAAGGCTGGAATGACAGTTATTCTGCTCTGAGAAAAGAGCTAAGAGGGCAGCGGTATTGCAAATATCTACAATTTGAAGATACAGGTCGAAGTAATGAGCCTGACTCATGTTACTGTACTCTCTTATATAAACAAATAACATAAGAGTGTGAGAAAAGGAGACGGAACATCAATCCAGAGTCAAGAGTCAAGACAGATCATTGAACATTGAGTTTATACTAACAGTTAGTGCCGAGTACCGACCATTTATAAGCCGATCCCAATAGCACAGTCTCCATTTATCAATGGCTGTGTACTTAGATGATGTAGATCATCTCTAAAAAGAGAATCAAGGATATCTCCACAGTCTCCAAGGGGAAGCTGAGTCATGTAAAGCTGTTCAGTTCTACGAGAGGTGAACTGCTAAAATAATGTTTGTATTCAGTGGCGAAGGATGAGGACTCCAAGGATCCGAGGACTGCATCTGAGCAAGCTAGGAATGGCTGCTCTATTCAGGATAGTCTCTGTTCTTTCAATATATTTACGGAATCTTAGGGCAGACAAGCCAAACTAAGAAAGACAAAGCCTACTTTAGGCATTTCTACCAACCTAGTTCTCTCGAGTCATTACTTCTGCAGCATAAGCACATCAATGATTCAGTGATTTCCTCAAGCATGGTTCATGTGGAGGCTCGCCACTTCTTCCTATTCCCAGACACAAACATTTTTCCGTGTTGATTGCGGGGCAGCCGATGCAAATTGTCTCAGATTGGTTTAGTTGGTTGAAAGCTGCAGGGTGCAGCATCTGCGTGCCTCAATTTTCAACAGTCAAGTCAGCTTCGTTACTTTAGTTGCAGGAAGCTAGTTCCTAGCGAAGCGAACTAGACTAGACCTGTCAACGTGTCACCACAACCATCCTGTCCACAATGCCAGGAGAGCTGATTAACCCCCCCATTCTGTTTCACATGAGAATTGTTAAAACACGGAGATAGCCCCTCTTTGAAAGCAATTCCTGTAGGTGGAATTCTGGGAGCCTGGTGTCGAAAATTCGCTCAATAATGGTATCCTAGGACAAAGGCAGGATCACAATGGCTGTCCTAGCCGTACTCGTGGTAGGGCTGGCCATCTACTGGGTCATCCAGATCATTTACCGACTCTATTTCCACCCGCTGAGCCATATTCCCGGACCAAAACTGGCTGCGATCACCCATGGCTACGAATTCTACCACAACATCATCAGGGGTGGTCTCTTCATCTGGGAACTCGAACGATTGCACCAACTATACGGTGAGTATATCTTGATTACAGACCAGCTCAGACAGCTAACCGTCTCAGGTCCGATCATCCGCATAAACCCGCGGGAAGTCCACATCAAGGACCCCGACTACTACGATGAGATCTACGCCTCCAGCCTTCGCAAGCGCGAGAAGGACCCCGTACTAACCAAGCAGTTCGACCTCGAAGGCTCCGGCTTCTCCAGCATCGACCCAGAGTCTCACCGGCAGCGGCGCGCACCCGTCGAGAAATACTTTTCGAAGCGGGCCATCGAGAAAATGGAGGGCCTGATCCACGAAAGCCTCGACAGACTCGTCTACCACTTCAAGGAAGCCCATGCCTCGCATCAGGTGGTCAGTCTGGACGCGGGATTCGCAGCCTTGACCTCCGATGTTATCCACAAGTACGTGTACGGGTTCAACCCGGCTAACGTCGACAAGGAGGGGTTCAACGCCAAGGTCAGAGATGGGATTAACGGGCTCTTCCAGCAAGCGCACCTCCTGTACTTTTTCCCCGTCCTGCAAACCATCATGAAGTTGACGCCGCTGGAGTTCTTGCGCAAGTACAACCCCCCGGCGTTTGCTCTCGCCAGTCAGAAGAAGGAGCTGTACAATCGGGCCGCGGACGCGCTGGAGAATGCGCATTCGCGTTCCAAGAACAGCGACAGCGGCACTGTGATTGAGGCTCTTGCGGCGCCGACGGTGCCGGCACACATGCGCAAGCCGGAGCGGCTGATGAACGAAGGATTCGCCCTGGTGATTGGTGGCACGGAGACGACGGCTCGTTCGCTTGCGCTCGGCGTGTGGCATTTGTATAGCAGGAAGGATATTCGGAACAAGCTCAGGGAGGAATTGAAGCAGGCGATGCCTACCACAGATTCGAGACCGACCTGGAACCAGCTTGAACAGTTACCTTACTTTGTGAGATTCTAGACCGACGGGGTTTCTACATTACTAACCCTAGCAGTCCGGCGTGATTGCTGAATCCCTGCGTCTCTCTACTGGTATCGCGAATCGCTCTGCAAGAGTCGCGCCTACGGAGGCGTTGGTATACAAGGGCTACACTATACCACCGGGGGTCAGTACAATAAGCCACAAGGTCTAGGAGCAAGATTAACAGACGTACGTATAGACTCCCGTCAGCGAAACAAACTACTTCGTCCTCATGGACCCCGAAATCTTCCCCGACCCACACGCATTCGACCCGGAAAGATGGATGCGTGCCGCTGCCAAGGGACAACGGCTCGATCGGTACCTAGTAAACTTCTCCAAGGGAAGTCGGATGTGTGTTGGCTTGAAGTATGTGTAATATCTCTCGACCAGCTGTTCACTACTGACCTATGTAGTCTAGCATATGCGGAGCTCTTCCTGGTTATCGCGACGTTGGTACGCCGGTTTGACATGGAGCTGTACGAAACGCCCAAGGAGAATATTGAATTCGCTCGGGATTTTGGCACCCCGTACCCTGAGAAGGGGAACTTGAGCGTACGGGCGATTGTTACTGGTGTCATCGAGTAGTGTGCATAGTCTGTGGTTCAGGGTGAATCTGAGGTTGATTCAGCAGTGTCATCCACTAAGGAATTCACCCTATGTTTAAAAGAAGAATGTCAGTATCCAAGCAAGGGAAATGTGGGCAATACTGGTGTTTCTGAAGGAGAAAAATATGCACCTATACAAGGACCAGATAAGCCAGAAGATCTGGGGTAGGTAATAGCATGGACGATTTGACTAATTGGCACGGTTGGAGCATAGAGAACGACATAGTGAAGATGAGTTATACAGGTTAGTTTGCCTTAGATAGGATGCACATACTTTACGCTCATCAAAACTCCATGGTCATTCCCAACTCTTCTATATTCTGTACTGTATGCTCCACCTAGTCACAGAGCTTTAGCTCAAATCCTGCAAACTTATAGATATTCAGCTGTTATACCTATAACACCACATAACCCTGTTCCATATGCAAGTATATTCAGGGCGAGGAATTCAATGTATTTGCGATGGGGATGATATACTAAGAATCTGGACACAGGCCGACTAGCTCAGTCGTAAGTGCTACCCACTGAGGATGAAAGCAGAAAAATAAGGATTCCACATGGCAGTGAGCAGAACAGAAGATCCCCTTAGAGTAGAAGATACCCTCAGGATGGAATAGCAATGAATAGAGGATAACTCCTAGTAAAAAAACATGTGACTACCATCCTGGAAACGCCCCGTTCTGGTCTGTGTCATGCCTCATACCAATCAAGATATTTCGCGCCTTGCATCTCCTGTTTCCCCACCTTACTCTCCACCTACTCTGGCCACAAGAATTGATTGAGAGACTCTGAACTGGAGAGGAGTTATGGCAATTATTCGCAAAACGAGTGAATCGACATACTACTACATTGACCTGAGGGATCATACACTGGATGGTATTGAAAGCCTCTGTCCGCTCGACAATGGACAGCAACATGATGCCCCAAGGAGTACGTTGGGAGCCTTGGACAAACTCCCTTTGGAACTTCTTAACATAGTGCTCGTGCAACTTGGAATCCGGTCACTTACCGACTTCCGACGCGTCAATAGACAAGCCAGACGGGTCATAGATTCGATTCCACAATACCGACAGATCATCCAGCACGCACCTGCTACCATCCGAGGAATCCTGAGCATCGAAACAGGAGATTGGATCTCATGTCAAAACTTCTACGCAAAGCTATGTACGGCTGAGTGCGACGGCTGTGGTGATTTTGGCGGCTATCTATACCTGATAACGTGTCGTCGTGTTTGTTTTCTCTGCTTCACGGAGAAGACTGCTTATCTTCCACTGCTCCGAACGGATGCCATGCGGAAATTTGGACTCCGTCGAGAGCACGTAGCGAATTTGCCTCGAATGAAAAGTATTCCAGGCCGCTACTCACCACGGGAGATCAAATGCAGTACGCGACTTACACTCATTGATCATGACGCTGCACGACAAGCTGGGATTCGTTTGCATGGGTCCGTCAGTGCCATGGAACATCATGCAGCAGAAATGGCATCTGAAAAACTGGAGAAGTATCAGCGTCGGGCCTCAGGACATGAGGCGCGGCAAAGTAAACGTACGCGCCGGCCCAAATTAGAGGATGACTTTGATGGATTTTCGTCGAATCCCAAACGTTTCATGGGCATTGTCCGTGCACCACTCATAGATACACGCCTAGGAACTGTTGAATGGGGGTTTCACTGTATTGCTTGCAAATCCCACCATTATGATAAGCCGCTTCATTGGCGCCGGATGTTTACAACCGACAGTTTCAAGGATCATGTCTCGGAATGTGGGGAGATAATAAATGGACATCACAACAGACAGTTGGATAATGATCAATGATGACAATGACTGACACGAATAACCAAAACCCCCCACGCCAACCGTTTCGCCTCAGAAGTAGCAATCAATGCTGTCGTGCTTCGACATTTCCCGCTACTGAACGGTTTTCTACCTGCGCATTTCGCCCTTGCCAGGTTTCACCATATGGCGTGCACATATATTACACATCCTAGTCAGGTTAGTATTTCTTCTCCACTATTCTTACCTCGACTCTTAGTTGGCTGCACTTATCAGAATATCACTTTTTTGTCCCTGGTTCTAACTGTTTCTGGCGCCCAGTGTGGAAAGGATGAGAGAAAGGCGATGAGTAAACACTCCAAGAGGCTAGGGAAATGCATCGTCATTTGCCTGCCTGACGGGATTCTCCTTTTGATAGGCCTTGTCTTCTCCAATGGTCGCGCAATAATCGTCTAGTTGATAAGGCAAAACGATACTGTACTCTAACTCGCGAATCATAGCGAGTCGAGTAATAGCTGCTTCCTAGGTGATGGTATGAAATTTGCAGAAAGACTATTACGACCCTCGAGATCAATACTGTGGATAGCCCTAATAGAACATCTAGTGTGCTAGGTTTAAGCTCTATAAGCTGATCCGTGCCGAGTATTAACATCAGGAAGCCCTAGAGCACTTCTTCTATTAATCCAATAGCAATGGCAATCTATCATTAATGGTATCATACAAGTCATAACATCATCCAAATTACAAATGATACTATACGGTCGTTGTTTTACCCTCCGTTTCCTGGATTGCCGGAACGCTCTCCGTCTCGCGTCCATAGTTCGATTTCGGGCCCAGCTCGTCATCATGCTTATGAGACATGAGCAGAATGGCAGTACTGTCCTGCATCAGCAATCTGCTCGTGCAGCGTAATCCAAAGGAATGACATACCTTGCAACAGTCGCAACCCAACCGGGCCACGCAAAGACAACGGATGTAATAGCTTTGGGGTTTGTCCGGTATTCTCCATGATGTTAGCCAGCGTCACAGAAGCAGCAGCAGGCGGATACGTACGCAGAGCAGGCTTTTTGGCCGGTTCCGCCCAGTATTTCCTGGCGGATACGGCGTCGGTCCCGGTGATACGGGCGCTATGTGTGGCGGTGATGATCTAGTCTCATGAGCAGGCTGCACAGCAGTAAATTGGAATATCAAGGCCTACAGTCATTGCCAGAGCAGAAGCAAGCATCATCACCGACACCACCACTGCAGATATCTTCCACGCCAATCGAACAGATTTGCTCTCGTGTCGTTCCGGCCAGAACAGATCGAAGAAAAACGCGGCGCCGAAGATGGTTGCAACGGAGACTCCGACGAAGATATTATACGACGCGGCGCCGATGAAGTCGTTGTTGTGGACTTTGACTTCGGGGTGCTGTTTCTGGATGTCATCTTGTTGATCGAGGTAATCTAGACACAACCAAGATTAGATTGGTGATCCCGGTAGCCATCGGGGTAAAGTACCTGACAAAGCGGCAGTTCCAACCGACTCAGAAATGACGCAGAATATCATGGCCATCTGGTAGACAATCATCTTTGTGCGACGCAAGTGGTACGCGCGGTTGAACATTCTCGCTCCTTTGAATTTGTTCCATTGTATTTCGTGGAGGTCGAGACCCCATATGATGGCCATTGAAGAAGTCGGATTATCAGGACAGTTTAATTCTCAAACAATGGATGCTATTGCTGCTCAGTAACCGAGCCGAGGGAATAGATAAAGTAGGCAGGAGACAAGGGGTGAAGGCTTGACAGTTTGGGCAGCTCAGATCTTCAAAGAGGATGACTGACTAATATAAGTTGAGCCATGCCGAATTAATAATGTTACACAAAAGCCCGAAACTTGTTTCCTTTTTGGCAATATCTGGTGGTCCGACACTCTGATGGTGGTGGTCTTGGTAATGCTTTGTGATTGACGGTATGACGTCAACGAACAAGCAAGCCGCAAAACGGCCCAAAACGTCATCGGTGCAGATCTTCAATGACCTGGCCAGTATGCTCACGATTACAATTCTGCTAACAGCGCCATTATCTTTTTACCTTGTATATTCTAATAATAAGTAGGTTCTTATATCGACTAGTTAAATCATCGTCCAAGTCGAAGAAGGTGCTGAACACATTATTACACTACTATCTCCACTGCGCTAGGAATGATCGTCGAAACACGTTTTCAATAAGGGTTTTATGGTTGACAGGAAGCTGAACCAAGATCAAAATCAAGCTCGATCCTGTCATATGCTTATATCGATCCATAAAGGCTTATCAGGTTGTCCAAGAACATTTCCTCTGGCCAAGAACATCTTGGCTCTACGTGGATGTGGACATCATAACACAAACACTAGAGCTAGATAAGTACAAACTGATATTACACTATGAATTATGAAACCTATCTGGAATCACATGTTTAATAATATACTGGTGAACTAATGGACACTCCACAATAAATATAATGGCACTATGAGCCTTGATATTAGTAATATAGAAGAACCATTACCGCTGTTCTCACTCATGATTCTTCATTCAGCTATCGTATTCATCAATTGGAGAATGCCATCATGATAAGCCTTCCTACAGAAAGGCTCTTTGATCAAGCTGCATTCTCTCTCTCCTATCATTCTACGCTTAGTTGTTCTGGATGTCTTCGTTGACGATCAGGATGGTTTTTCGAATACATGCCGTGCATTTCCTACGAGACTCGACGAAAGGCGTGCTTATACGTCAAAGACAGAGGATATGGATTCAACTGAGGCTGCTTGACGAGGTAGAAGAATATATTGCGCCGTGGTGGATGGAGGACGAGAAGGACCAGAATGTGGATGAGAGCTGGCGGATGCTGAGAAGAGAGTTCTTGCTGCGGTGCGCCAGTTGGAGGAATTTTGCCTGAAAGGAAGCAATAGACAGGCTATTCGCTGCTAGACTAGTACATCAATGCTTGAATAAATAAGCGACAGGCTAGTCCAAAAACCACTTGGGTACCTCCGGCCCCCAAACAGCCAACGATTCATCACCCGCAGGCCCATACCCAATGGGCGTCTCCTCACTCACCAAGTCCCCATCTGCATAATGCTCAATCATGTACCCGGTGGTATCCCACCAGTAATCAAACAGCTGCGAGCCGAGAATGTGTCGTCCCACGCCCCAAACAGGCTCATAACCCTTCTTCGCCAGCCACTGATGTCCCAGGTTCTGCGTGTCAAAGTCATGCTCTTCAAATGAGCAATGATGTATATGCGAGGTGGGATTCGTGCTCATGAAGAAACTGTGGTGGTCGACATAGTCTGCGCCGCGATCGATGTGCGCGAAGAGAGCAACATTCTTCTTCTTCCCGTCTTTCCCAACATAGAGGAAGTCGCTCGGCACAAGGTTGAAGGTTGTTGTATAAAAGGTGACCATTTCCTGGAATTTTTGGACGCACAGGCCGAAGTGACCCAGCTGTATCTGTTAGTTATGGTGTAAGGATGGCCTGGGGAGACGTACCTTGTGGACGGCTGCAGGGCCGGAAACGAAGCGCTGGAAGTGACGGATGCGAGGCTTGTCTGACTCGTAGTTGACCACAAGCTTGGAAGGATATTCACCTGGTGCTGCCGGTGACTGACCGTAGATGAGATTGATCGGGAAACCTTCTGGATCTTTAACGGTGACCATGAAGCCTCCTCCGGGTGCGTCTTTCAATTCTTGGATAGCGCTGCCTGTGGGCAGATTGGCCGCCCTACATACATATCAGCAGCCTGAAGTCTCGTCATAAGGGTTGTAAATACCTTTGCAAATCTTGATACGATTCCACCTCAAACGTCCCTCCGAGAAACTCTTTCTCTGCCCCTTTGCGAGCATAGTAAACATACTGATCCGTCCCGTACCCTCGGTACCACACTTCCTCATCTGTCCTTTTGACAACTTTCATACCAAAATCTATTCCCTTCAGTCAGGCCTTCCTGATAGTAGGACAATGACTAACCTTGGAGGAAGACAGTAATCGCATCAAGATCAGGATGTTGATAGCGCATATGCGCCAACTTCACCAGTCTGATCTGATTCTCTGTCTTAATGCCACATCGTTCCTTCCACTTCGCCAGAGACTCTTGTTCTTCTCCGATAGCGACCACGTCCGGGACGGAGGCTCCGTGACATGGCTGGATCTCTGCCTGCGATGTTTCGGACTGTCAAACAGTCAGTGCCCAGACTGCGTCGCTGGTCCTAAGTCCTAACCTACCATATTCATCTCGCTGTGCATGCCAGTATCTAAGATCAGGTTTGTCAACGAGCGAGAAACGATACCATGTAAACATATCTTTGTCTCGGTTATCGGCCTTCAGCTGAATACCGGGGAGAACCTTCCCCGCATTTTGTATAGAGATGGCAAATGAAATGCCGTGCCGCAATTGTGCTACTATCGCTGTCCCACACACTTGGCGGGGATCATCCCACATTGATTTTCGTGGACAATGGAAGTAGCTGGAGTAAATAGGTGACAATCATCAGCACCTAGGGAGATCCGAGAACCCTGTGGTTACGTGGGGCTCATCGGCGGTTGTGGGTTCGACTGGCGATCCATCCACATCGGTCAACATTCCCCGATTTGCTCAACGTGAGTAAAAGATGGATGCGCTACGCTCCAATATCATAATAACATTACAGAAGGTCTGTCGGCAGTTGATCCTTTTGATACCATCCGACGCTACACCAACCGAGGTACTCTAATCACCAAGGTGGCCCAACAAGCTATCAGAACGAGTGCGGTCGCCGTCATATACGGAAGACCAAGCCATACCCCATGCAACGTCATACTGAACTTGAACGTGCCTGCCATCATCGGCCCCGCGATGATCGCACCAAGACCCTCCATCAAGGCAATTGTCGTCCCCAACAGACCTATCTCGGCCTCATCCACCAATGCCGTAGCAACGCTGCGTAGAGCCGGGAAGAAACCCACTCCCAGCGAGGAGATCGATAGACCTACAGCGAAGACTGTAGGGCTGGCGGCTAGTGCCATGAGGACGTACCCCGCCGCGATTGTGAGGACGCTGCCGAGGGAGATGCGCAGGTCTCGGCGTATAGGGGGGAGGAATCTGTCTAGGGTTTTGGAGAGCGCGGGAAGGATGAGGAGTAGGGCGGTAAAATTCATGATTCCTTTCAAGGAGACGAGAAAGCTTGCCTGTTCCAAGTCAGAAGGGGACGGAAAAGTGATGGAGAATGGGACTGTACCTTTGCCATGGACCATGAGAAGCGTTTTGAGACATACTGTAGCATGATCAGGAGCGACTGGATAGCCACATTGGCCGTCAGCAGGGCGAGGGAGATACAAACAATGTTGCGTTGGGCGAAGATGAACCGGCCGTGATGCATGATTTGGTGCCTGGCGTGACTCCAGACAACTTGAAGACGTTGACGGACCGTCCGTGGAGCGTCATCGTCCGCCTCGTCGTCTTCGCTGCCCGTCTCGCTCAGTTTGCTCAACTTGGGAAGCGTTTCCGGCACACATAGGGAAGCACACAGACCACATAGCATGAAAAGTACTGCCAGGAAGTACGGGAGCCAGGGCGTCCAGGACATGAGCCAGGCGCTGAGCGGGCTTGCGACAATCTCGGCTACCTGTGCTGACGCATAAATGACAGAGAAGATATTCGCCCTGCAACCGTTACCATCTAGTGTATCCGCGTCCGATTGATTGACATACCGTTTCTCCACCGGAAACACATCGGTGATCATCGTGAAAAGCATAGACCTGGCAATCTGGGCGCCACCACCGCAGAGCTGAAATACCGACATGAACCACACTGTCCGCAGGGGAATAAACCTGCTGTACCATGCTGTACGCTATCAGCAGGGAAACAAACTACGATCAGGTCACTTACCGATTATCCGCACCATCACCTCTTCCGTAATCAAGCCAAGCAAACTCAACCTTAGCACCATCTTCCGTCCCGCTTGATCAGCCATCAGACCAAATGGAAGCGCCAGAAAAATCCCCGGCAGCGTATCGAGCGTCTCCTTCCAGCCATTGACAAGCGCAAGCTCACCCTGCACATCGGCGGCCTTGCATCTGGCATCAATCTGCTCCTGGGTGGTAAGAAATGCGATTTCCGGGTGCAGTTTCCGACAGATAATTGACTCGAATATTTGGATCTGCGGAGCCATAGCCAGATTAGAGCCAAAGTTTATTGCGATGATGCCCAAGCTTAGGACGATGAGGATCCATCGTGCATTGGTGGAGCGGCGGGACTCTGATGCGTGGTCGTGGCCTAGCAAGGGGGTTTCCTCGCATTCATCGTGCCTGGTCTCGAACACCATTTTGTTGATGATATGGTCGAGATTATGGGGAAGAAGAGCCAGGAATGATGATGGTCATGTTTATATAGGGAGAAAGTCCACGTCTGTAAGCCTGGATGCCTGGATATTTCATCCCTGCATGTGCAGGTACCTTTGACGCTAGAGAGGCAGCTACCAACGCTCATTGGTTAGAGCTACTGCCAGCTGAATCGTAGGTCACTCCTATTGGTCAATTCTTTCGGAGTAAAAGATCAATTCCGGGTCGGAGTTCGGAATTCAACACTGTAAAAACCAGGCCAACATTGGCGTCAGAAAGAGCAGTCAGCAATGATACTTTGATTGCATCACGATGCTGATGCATTCTGGCTATCTTCCTTCTGAAGGAAGTGGTGGCTGCAATGCCACTGTAAGCACAGAACAGAGATAATGTGACGTGACTATTCTGCTGCGCAAGAGCGTCCTTGAATAAAATATGCAGAATGACGTGCTTAAGCCTCGACACCTGAGACACCAGAAGGCAAAACCAGGCATAAAATAACCAGTTCAAATAGAGTGAGCTAGACTAGGTCGTCCCCAAGGTTCTCGCAAGCATCCTTGGCATCCCACTGTTCAGCCGACTTGGCCCTTGGCATTTCTGTTTACAGCTATAGGAATTTATCTAGGATGTTCAGTTCACTCCAGGAACTTCACAGAATTTCTCAGTGTTAAGATTTTTGGACACCCAATCGTCGCTCCTACCTCCCACATCCCACTTGGCCTGTGCGCAGTTGAAATGCCCCAGTGCAGGCGCAGGATTTGGTACTACAAAGGTTACCAAGTGAGAACCTTGAAGACGCCGAGGTCTTCCACTCTGCTTGGCAATGCCGTATTCCTTCAGGCCAAGAGACCGTTAATCAAAGATGATCTTGAGGCAGCACTTGAAGAGGGACGGAGCATGGCCCCAGCAAGCATATATAAACCCTCGAACCCTTCCTCTCCTTCCAGGAACAATTCTCACATTCCCTCCATTCCTCCAGGATCCGTTGTCCCTGTTAAGCATAATGAAGCACCTCATCTTTACTCTCCTCGCCTTGGCCTCCACCTCGGCCGTGGCTCAAGATCCTGGTCCTTCGCCTACAGCCTCTGTTGGCTGCGAGCCACATGGCGACCACTGGTATGACACGAACGGAGACAATCAATCCAGTAAAGCTCACGGCATATAGGCACTGTGATGGTCCAGCAACTGGAGCCGCTAGTACTACCAGCGAACTACACCGTACTCCAAGTCCCACTGAGTCTGTGGGATGCCAACCACACGGGGACCACTGGCACTGCGACGGGCCCGCCTCCACCGCGGCCATGACTACGGCGCCTTCTGGCGACCACGATCACGACCATGACCACGACCATGACCACGACCATGATGACGAGGACGGCACCGCGACCCCGACGATTCCTAGTCCCACAGAGTCGGTTGGATGCGAACCGCACGGCGACCATTGGCACTGCGATGGGCCCCGGGAGACGGGTAGTGCTTCTGCCGGCACGAGCGGGGCGGCCGCTTCCACTTTGGTCTCGACTACTTCATCTGCCACGGCGTCTGCCACTGGGGCGCAGCAGTCTGGTGGGGCTGGTTCTTTGAGCGTGGAATTGTCTGTGGCGGTTGGGTTGGCTGTCGCCGCTGCGGCATTTCACGTTTGATGGATTATGACATGGTGTGCTATCCATTTATCGGTGGCCATGATGATGCGCCGTCGCGGTTTGTGCACATGTTCAAGACGTTGGGAAAAAATCAAGTCTCGGATTGAACCGGTTCATTATCATGGTGTTTCATACCATATGCGAGAACCTGGCTGTGTAATAAGAAAAAAAAAAAAAAAAAAAAAAAAGGAAGTCTGACAGAGTGTTGTTGAATAAACAAATACTGCACGAGAAGATAAGCGAATGAGAGGGAGGAGCGAAGATAATTCATTTAGCTGGTAAATGCAGGTGTCGACACGCTATTTACAATTGAATCAACCACAATGATGGTATATTTCAAACACCGTCTCGGGATTCGCTCTAATGCCGTTTGAATCTTGCGGGTGGCGATCCACTAACTGCGGGCCGATGTCATACGAGCCCATAATACGGAGTAGGCACCAAGATATTAGCTGAGTATTCCGTGCTAAAATAATCGATCAGTGTTTAAGGTAAGGAGAGATCATGATCGCCTGTCCCTGCATGGCTCCTATCCTAGGATCCACCTTCTTCCCGGGTGGCCTGTTGCTGGTCCAGCCATTCGGATCATGCCATCCCGGGTAACTTGACCTATCCGCGCGGTCTATATAGAGCATCAACAATATCAATTGGCTTCCGACAAACTCTCCCTCTACTGAGCCAGTAGTGAGGTATTCGCCATGGACTCGCTCAATTCCACCTATCCACAGCCAGCCATGGCGACCTATTCTGATCTTCTCGACCTCGCCGCTCAGCAACAGCCTCAACTCTCCAGTCTTGAGCGGCTCTGGTGGGCGCACTATGCCTTCTGGGACAATAATATCCTCGCGACTGGTAAGCCATTCAACGACGACCAACCAGTCCCGTCCCAGGTCTAACAGATATAGGAATTATCACCTTCCTCGCCCACGAAATCATCTACTTCAGCCGCTGTTTCCCCTGGATCATCGCCGACGCCCTCCCCAGCATCTTCCTCAAATACAAGATCCAAGACCAGAAACCTCCTCCATCCGCAGCAGAGCAATGGGCCTGCACAAAGTACATTCTCCTCATCCACTTCGTCATCGAGCTCCCCCTCATCGTCCTCTTCCACCCCATGATGGAACTCTGCGGCCTGAGCTTCACCACCCCATTCCCAGACCTCCGCACCCTCACCGCCCAAACAATCACCTTCTTCCTCCTCGAAGACACATACCACTACTGGCTGCATCGCGCCATGCACTGGGGCCCGCTCTACCGCTCCATCCACCGCATCCACCACCAATACGCCGCGCCCTTCGGGCTAACAGCCGAGTACGCCAGTCCCTGGGAGACCCTCCTGCTGGGCCTGGGCACCATCGGCCCCCCATTGCTCCTGGGACTGATGAACTGCAATGTGCACCTGGTAACGGTGCTCGCTTGGGTCGCACTGCGGCAGTTCCAGGCCATCGATGCGCATTCCGGCTACGATTTCCCCTGGAGTCTGAGGCGGATCCTGCCGTTCTGGGGAGGAGCGGATTGGCACGATGATCACCACCGGTATTTCTGGGGGAATTATTCCAGTTCATTTAGGCATTGGGATGGTAAGTGTCTTCTGTTGTCGTTCGAGATATCTGCTGACGCCGTCTAGTGTTGATGGGTACGGTTGCTGGTCCGGAAGCGAGGGAGAAGAGACGCTTGGAGCGAGAGAAGCGGCAGGCTTGATTGTTCAGGATCGGCGCGAAAATATCTTTATATTCGATTGTATCGATATCTTACTGTAATGTAATAGCTTGGTTGACCTCGGAATTGCTCTGATTCCATCATGCAAATAATGCCATTGATTAATGACTCCATGGTGCCATGACGAAACTTTCAATGATGAGCAGATAATGGGTGGAAGTTGTGATGGTAATGAACTGGTTTAACTTAAATTATTTGAGTGGCACCTGGTTGACTGTTGTCTCATCCTGCTTGGAGTGAGGCTATCATTGACATTGAATAAAGCGTTATTTGCTTTTGGCTTACTTGATCTGGTATTAGACAGGACGTTGTTATGAGATAGGAACAACAACTGATATATCTCTCCTTATGAAGTACTATTTCACAAAACCTTCCATTCTAAGAGTGGGTGTCAATCATATAGCCCTGTCACTCCTACGAGGACTTGAAGTCTATGTTTCCTATCGCAGCCTTCCCAGCCTTAAAAATCGTCCCGGGGCGCTATTCACCGTCTTTTAGTGGATCCAGAATCCACTTCTATATGACGATACCTCACAGAGTGATTGAAACCAAGAGATATGGCTATCTTCGGTGCTCTCAAATTCATCGAATACCATTCGAACATACTCCGCGTGGGAGGATACGTCCTTATCTACACTCGTTCTGAATTGTGATTACATATCCCAAGCTGAGAACTTGGTTTCCTTATCTATCGTCCCCGCCGAAACATGAAGCCTTGTGAAGCCACTGGGACCATTTTTGGTCTATCCTTGGGTAGGGCACATTCACACGTGGGGGTTCAACTGTGAAAAGCTGGAGAAAATCTTTAGCACTGTGCGGATGCGACTCCTACGTCTAAGCATCATCGATATCTGAAAAGGGCCTTGAAGTTAGGATAATCGTTAATTAATTCCTATTGCCGAGGCGGGAACAAGATCGGGTAATGGTCACTTTCTACGGATGTGACAAATAACTATAATCCCAATAGCCTAGATCGTTTGATCAAACAGCATGGCTTCTCCGATCTAATGCGAACCTGCGTCATCGCCAACAACTCGGGGATTTATTCCATGGGCCTAGAATAATACACAACCCCTGACCGGCCATGGAGTCGGCTCAACTTGAGCAGAAAGTTTCCGAGCGGGTCCACATAATATGTGCCGAGTGTTCACATAATCTGTACCAAGTGTGGAGATAAGATTCTGAAGAATGACGAACGCCATAAGCGACCTGCATATGTGGTCCTGTGCCTAATCCTGTGCCGCCAACCAGAATCGAGGAAGCGAACCGGAAACATGGTAAGAGTAGCCACGACGGCCGAGCGACCCACCCATGGAATCATCCCGAACGTCCATTATTCCACCCTTGTCTGAAGAAATTGAGTTATCCCCGAGTAAGCAATAGCTTAAACAGCAGTAAGCTTACAGGCCCATAAGGAAGCTTATCAGTGCGACAACTTGGAGGAAGTCCTATGTGCCACCACCCAACGGCATATAGTACGCTTTGAGAGACCAAAAAAAGATAGAGAACCGGCCCGATCAATGTGGCGGTTTGCCGGACATAATGGAGATTAAAGTGGGCGCTTACCATGGTCAAGGCGAGTGGGTACGGAAATTTCTTGCCGGATTGTTAAGCATCGACGATCTTCCATCTTGCCTCGGCGCTGTTGGTGTATATAAGGCGTCTTGAGGACCCCTGGAGAATCAATGTACCACTCACAGACTTAAACTAAATTGAGACGAACAGATACAATGGCTGCTACCGACTACAAATTCGAGGGCTGGCTTGGCCTTGACAAGAATGCCGTCGAGGGCAAGATGGTGTGGAAGGAGTTTACGCCCAAGGCGTGGGAGGAGACCGATATTGACATCAAGATCACCCACTCCGGCATCTGCGGCTCTGATCTGCACACACTGAGAAGTGGATGGGTATGTAGCTTTCAAAATGCATTGTAAACTGCGAGACTAACCTATCTCCAGGGTCCCACTATGTACCCCTGCTGTGTCGGCCACGAGATCGTTGGTGTGGCGGTGCGCGTGGGATCGAAGGCCGAGGGAGGCATTAAGGTCGGTGACCGTGTCGGTGTTGGAGCCCAGAACGACTCTTGTCTGGGCCGCAAGGGTGACTGCGAAGAATGTGCCTCCGGTATGGAGCAGTACTGTACTCATGGAATGGTCGGCACATACAACGGCGTCCACCTCAACGGTGACAAGTCGTATGGTGGATATGCTCTGTACCACCGTGCTCCCTCTCACTTCGTCTTCAAGATCCCCGATGCCATCCCCTCTGCGGAGGCCGCCCCCATGATGTGCGGTGGTATCACCCTCTACTCTCCTCTGAAGCACTACGGCTGCGGTCCCGGCAAGAAGGTCGGAGTTGTAGGAATCGGTGGATTGGGACACTTTGGTATCCTGTTCGCTAAGGCCATGGGCGCTGACAAGGTTGTCGCCATCTCCCGCAAGGCCAACAAGAAGGAGGATGCTCTCAAGCTGGGTGCTGATGAGTATATTGCAACTGATGACGAGCCTGATTGGGCTCAGCGCTACAACCGTTCCCTTGACCTGATTGTTTCCACTGTCTCTTCCTCCAAGGTATGTACCATCACTCCTTATGTCTGGTTAGTGAGGCTGTATCTGACATTCATCAGATGCCCATTGTGCAATACTGCTCTCTTCTCCGCACCGACGGTGCCTTCGTCCAGATGGGTGCTCCCGAGGACGGTGCTCTTGAGATCCCTGCGTTCTCTCTGATCGGCCGCAGAGTCAAGATGGGCGGTTCCCTGATCGGCAGCCCCAGTGAGATCCGGGAGATGCTCCAGCTCGCTGCGGAGAAGGGTGTCCACCCCTGGATCCAGCAGAGACCCATGACGGACGCCAACCAGGCCGTTGTCGACATGGATGCTGGCAAGGCCCGCTACCGCTACGTCCTTGTCAACGACCAGTAATTAACGAAGTTTAATGTATATACCTGCATCATGTATAGACTAATCCGATGATCACTCTTGTTCAATTCTTTCAAACGCTCGTACAATGTATTGTTGGCTGCTCAGCACCACTTCACTGCCGACGCTCCAATCCCCGTCTTCGGTGCCAATGGTCGTCATAGAGGGTAGTTTGTCGACATCCGGGCCGAGGATGTACTTCGTCTTCCACCCAGAAGTGGAGTCCCACTCCTCCCGTCTAGCGGTGACCACCCCTCCGCGCTTGACCACGGCTTTCCCGTCTTCAACGTGCGTCTGCTCCTGGCGCAGCGCAACATAAGTCCCCCAAATCCTCGCAATGAACATCCGAATCACCGTACTCCCATCCTGACCCTCCCCCTTCGCCTCCAATACCCATGAAACCCCCCTCCCTAGACCCTCAGGACCCTCTCTGAAGGGCAACTCCCGCCACACCTCCTCGTACTCCCTAACAGGCGCACCAGGAAGATCCCAACGCGGCATCGACCCCGTTTCAAGGTCATCCCCGTTCGGCAGCGCAGTAAAGTTCCCGCAATCCACAGCATCAAACGCACTATGCGAGTCGATGGCGTGTGTGAAAAGCACTCGCACTGTACCTCGAGTTAGCTTGTGTCACAAATTGCGCGAGGGAACCTACGTGGGTCCTGGCTTTCTACGATGCGTTGGCCGGCGATCGCCCAGTCGATTTTACCAGAGGATTTGTCGACGCGGAGATCCACGTACCAGCCCATTAGAGACAGGACAATGGTGTCGGTGTTTTCGAAGGCGGGGTCGGGGAGCCAGCGGAGGGAGACTCGGGTTGAGAGGCTGCTGCTGCTGCTGTGACTGGTGGTCATTTTCGGATTGAAGGTCTGGGTGCTTTCTTGCTGTAATTGAGAAAGGGTTGGTTCAGTTGCTTATTTTAAGAATTGGGCTGTTTGTTTGTGAGCACATTGCATTGATATGCCGATATGCCTACCCCGCAGATCACGATCTTATTGTAGCATTGGCCAGGGACATAAGGCTATTATGGGACAATTTGGGCTACAAAGGTCTATTGGCTCAATGGTAGAGCACCTGTCTCCTATGCTGGACAACAGGAGGTTGTGGGTTCGAGTCCCATGTAGATCGACCTTTTTTTCGGCATCATTTTTACACTTGTCCGTTTGGTACGGTTCGTTCTTCTCGATTATTATTCGATTTATATGCGTCTTGATTTTTGTTACTTCCTTCCCTGTTCCAGTGTCAGCTTATAGCCCGTCCTGCCGTGGCATCCAATATATATTACTTAGCCGTCGACATTCCAGCTAGTGGATAATTTATACTATATATCCGACAGAGCATTCACAAAACAAATTTAGTTTCTCCTAGCATCAGAGAGAGAGATAGCAATACTATTTATTCTTCCTTTTGTTGCAGAATTCTGTTGAAGTCGGCGAAAATAACAGTCGAGGCCACTGCTACTTAGTATCATATATTAATGACGGTGAAGTGGAGCTTAGAGTATTAATCAAAGCAATGAAATGGTTATTGTTTGAGCTATCCTGCTTCTTACGACGAATATACTCGCACGTCGGACAGAGCCTACAAACGCAAAGTCTTACGATTTGTTCGTCCCAATTATCCAACCATGCCACTCAAGAACAAAGCCCATCACCAGGAGCAGAATCCATGCTAGCCAACATTCAGTCTGGCCAACATTCAGTCTGGCCCTCCAGCACGCGGTACTGCCTCGCCGAGGCAAAAGTCGTTGACTCGTGCCTCGACCTCAGCGTCGTCTTCATGTAAAATCACTGGAGACGGAAGGCCCGGCTAGACAAGAACTGATCGATCTTTCCCGATCTTAGTCCCAATTCAACAACACAGGCAACGATAGTCCACAGCCCAAGCGCAAAGTTCTCCTTGTGAAGCGGGCCTCCACTCTCCGGCTTCTTCGCATCGAACCTCAGCAGCTGATGCAAAAACGACAAAGCCCAGACAAACATCCACGAGGCCCACAGCCAGCTGGAATTCTGGGCCCGCAGCTGCAGGTAGACAGAGCCGAGCACTAGACCCGCCAGGACGGCCAGGAACAAGTGGATGCGGGACCCCACGGCGACGTACACCGAGTTCACATTCATCTTTGAGTCGTCGACGACATCTTGGTAGCTGTATGCTGTGTTGAGGTACAGGGTCCACACGAAGACGGTGATTGCCAGCGGGAGGGACTCAGTGATGCTTTGCGTGACTGGGATCTCGCGGCCTTTGATTGCCATCCAACCGATTGCGCTGGGCCAGGCTAGTGTAAAGCCGAGGAAGTACTGGGGATAGATGCATAGTCGACGGAAGAATTGACGCTTTCCGTAGGGATAGAGGATTGTGGCGACGGTGACTGGGATCATAGCAGCCGCGCTGTTTTTGATCAGTTATCCACGTTCTTGAGACTTTTGTGAGAGATTCTCATACACGTCGTGACCCTCCAGCATAATATCCATCAGCCACCAGGAGACAGAAAATTGGACCAACATCCAGATGAAGCCCTCGGTTGCAGTCACTCTCCCCGCTGCCAAGGGCCGATTCTTGGTGCGCGCTACATTTTTGTCGATGCTGCGGTCGACCCAGTCATTCCAGACCATGCCAGCACCGCAGTAGATGTAGCCGCAGAGGAAGCATAGAAGAGCCTGCCGTAGGATGTGGTTGGTCGAGATCGAGGTCGGATTAGCGGTTATTTCATTAGCACCAGCAAGTAACGTTGCCCAAACTGAGATGCCCGAGGTCAATGGGTGAATATTGTATATAGGGAAGGGACACACCTCCTGAAAATACAGCAAGCCATGGGTTGTACTTGTGAAATCTGGATAGGATAAGCAGGTCCTTCACGAGCTGCAGGACAGATCGCCGCTGAGGAGATGGGTCAGTTTCCATGACTTTGTACATTTTGAACATGTCTCTATCAACAACGAGTTAAGAAGGGCGAAGCAGACAGTCAACTAGCGACTGATCTATCAATGGGGATGATGTTCAAGGAGGGTAATATACATGGCAAATATTACCTCAATATAGCCAGCCTTGCCTTCGTAGATGTCGCTGATAAACAGGGAAAAGCACCGACAGCCAGTTTGAAAACCACCGACAGCTACATACTAGGGCTGACTGATTGAGATGCACGGTACTATCAGCCCACGTCCCTCCTTAGCTTGACTCGGTAATAGCTCAAGCAGCCAGCTGATGAGTCTCGGAGCTGCCCCATTGAGCATTTCAGCAATCCTGCAACTTCATTATCTTAGCCGGGGTGCCTCTCAGAACGCAAACAGGGCTGCTTTAGCAGTCCAATAAGCCAAGAACCGTAAAGAAGTGCCTTAATAGGCGTCGACTGGAATAGCTTATCACACTAAAAAGCTAATGTACCTTATGACATGGACTCGGTCTCAATCGAAAGACATCTATTGAAAGTAACCTGATTGGGGCGGCGTTCACAGAGTTGCCTTGCATGAATTTGGTCCGGAGCCAGGGTACCCCTTCATCGCTGACAATCAGCTTACGGACCAAGACAAGTCGACACTATTAGCCCTGCGACCTATGATAGTGTGCATTGGGAGTAAAGGATAGTATTGGATTAAGTTACCGCTGACCGAATCCCGATGGATTCAAGTCGACTCAGCATTGGCCCCCTTGGCAGATACTCGACATCATTCATTTTTTATCTATGGATTCGATTGATTCGAATATCTCTGTATTTGCCATATCGAGTATATGGATACGCATCGTCACCCTTAGTTCAACGGGTAGCTAATGACTTGAATGAGGTATGTCCTGGTTTTATGCTTACTCGTTTTTGGATCATCATAGACTGTGAACCCATCGTATTAGAAATATACACAATACTAGGAGCATGATTTTGCATTATAAATCTGTTTCTGAAGAGGAACTCTAAGACCGTGGATAAACTCCTGTGTGGGCACATACCGCTGATTATCTACCCTGTAGACAAGATCTGAACGTAAGGGACAGCAGAGAATAAAATCAAATCACAAATTGGTTCCAAAGTAGCAGCCATCTTGCAAACTATGTGCACGCAGGTGATAACCAGCAGCAGCTACTCCTTCAGCTCCAGAAAGTCCAGTATCCCCTTCAACCCAGCGGTGTTGCCTAGATCACCAAAGTCCTTCAGCATTTCTCTTGCCTCTGCCGTGAGGCTCGCCAGCTTCTTGCGGCAATAATCGAAGCTTCCAGTAGACTCGGTGATACGGACAGCGTACCGCTTGACATCTTGGTCGTCAGTTTTTTGCTTCAGAATATTCATCAACTGGAAATTACTCGGATCACTGCGAATGCTGTGGATAATGGGATAGGAGAATTTGCCCTCAGTGATGTCTTCCCCGAACCCTTTGTTCTTTGCATACAAATCGCTCCGAAGGTTCTGGTAGTCATCGCGGATTTGGAAGATGATCCCGAGAAGGTCGACGAGCGGCACGCAATCCCTGTATCTCTATTAATCACCATACATGCAGTGTACAGAGAGGAGCTCACTTTGGATTCTGGCTTTCCATCTGCATCAGCTTGATCGCAAGCCGGAACAGCCCGCCGGTTTTGTTGCGAACCATTCCAAGGTACTCCTCTTCCGTGGGGCAAATCAAGGCATCTCGCCAGTAAAGATCCATGCCCTGGCCGCGGTGAAGCCTCAATAGCTCTTCTGTGAAGACGATCAGAGCCTCAGGCTTGCCTAGCTTTTGTAGCTCCTGTTGAGCCCAGAAGTAGGCGAAATTGGCCGAGTTGATGGTCTGCGCGATACCGAAAATGCTATGCGCGACGGGGAATCCTCGCCTGAGTTTCGACGAGTCTTGGATATCGTCAATTCTGTAAATTGTCAGCTTCATCCTCGCCAGGCGCACATGGACTACATACAGCAACGAGGCCGAATGCAGCAGGCCGACCACCCGCTTGATGATGTCGAGTTTGTCCTCTGGGATTTGGAGCCATTGGTTGAAGGCCGAAATCAGCTTGCCTCGAATGTCTTTGCCTGGGAAGCTGCAAAGGTAATCAAGAGGAGCCCAGATTATCTGGTGAGAGAAGGTTGTTAGAGTACAGAAGGTTACCAAGGGGCAATATTTATCCGTGTACCTTTTCTTGAGTGATCTTTCTCTGTTGCTCGAGCTCAGATGCACCGTCAGAGACGCAATCGGAACTAGAGCTTGGTGTTTCTGTTTCGGTTAGAGTGCCATTTACTGCCTGAGGTTGGGCTTCTTGAGGTATGAACAAGTTTAAGTGAGTCCATAGCGACTTCGACGGGTCTTGGAAGGGCTGCTGGCGATCGAGCTCGTAGAGGGACGCTACTGGCATTGATACCATATTGCAGCAGCTGGGGGGCTAGATTCAAAAAAAATCTACGAGATACTAGAGAGATATGGATTGGCATTTTTCAGGTGTACTTAGAAATGTGAAATATATAGAACTGTACAACCCAGGCACAGCTGAAGCTAATCAGAACCAGAAGATAAGCCGCTTAGATTCAAGCTTGATAATTGTTCGGAGTAAACTTCAATTTATCCACATGCAGCGTAACCTTACGACGCCAGCCGAAGATCAAACAATGCTATGACCATGCCAGTGGGGGTGGTTTCGGAGTACACTGCTAAAGACGTGGAAAGAAAGGTATAGGACCAGCCCGGAGGAGATTGCCACTCAGGAGCTGCATCCCTGCTCCGAGGGTGTCAACTTCGCATTTCACTTGTTCCTACATTATCAACTGAACCGATTTTCATGGCGTCTACTAACTGGACTAGAGTTTGTATCCCTGACTGGCCACCGACAAGGAACAGCTCATAATCCTCGATGCACAGAGTACATGAACATTCCCATCCGATTCCGATTCCTTCCTGGAGCCGACATGCAGCAGAACTCAACTAGGTCCGACCAGTTGGATGCATGATGTACGGAGTACTGTATCCTACCGGGATTATCCACCAAATTGCAATTCGGCGGATATTGCATCTTGACGTATTGTTGTATCCTTGCTGTTTTGACCCTACTGCTATCATCCCTACTAGCTAGAGATGGTCGTGTCTAGACACCTCTTTGGCTGAGCAATTCGATATATAACACGTATCATCATGACCACCCTAGTTGACAGGGAGCAGGAACCATTAGAAAGCGACAATTGTTGGATTGAGATATTCTCCGAACTGTACCGTGATCAATCTCAGTCAGAATCACATTGGCAATATCCCTACTGCCCACCATCATGGACGCATTTGACCTTTCCTCAGCTCCGGCCGAGTTCCAGGTCATGAGACCTATCTGTGACGTGATGGTCATCTTCACCGGAGCGACCTGGGTGATCAACTACATCGTCACGGTACGGCAGATCTTCAGGGACAGGGTGTGTGGGATGCCTCTGGCCTGTCTCTGCTGTAATATCGCCTGGGAGATCACGGTTGTCCTTGTTCACCGGCCCCCTTATTTTCTCCTCGACGTCTTTTTTGCCATGTGGCTGTCGGTCAATATGGTCATTGTGCACGGCTCGGTCAAGGTCTCCATGGAAGAGCAGCTTCCCTCGCCGGTGATGCACAAGTATCTCCCCCTGATCGTCGCCTTGACTATCTTGTGCTTCATATCGGGTTATCATGCGCTCGCGGAAATGTTGGGCCCTACCAAGGCCGTCTGGTGGGGAGGAATGCTCTCCCAGTTGGTTATGAGCGCTGAGTGTTTGGGTCAACTTTTGCACCGGGGGAGCACGCAGGGGGCGTCGTGGGTGATGTGGTAGGTGTCTTTGCTCTGAATGGTTTTTTTTCTCTTGAATAGAATATGCTGGAAGCTGAAAATTGGTCTCCGTCGGATTGTCCAGGATCTCCCGCGTTCTCGGTTCCTATTCGGCAATCGCCGGTGTATTTTTGAAGTCTTGGTTTTGGCCACAGCAGTGGGGCTGGTTTGACAATGCACTGACGAGATGGATTACGGGCATCTCATTGATCATAGATGTCATGTATGGCTGTATCTTCTGGTATATTTGGCAGACCGAGAAAGGAGCCAAAGTAAAGAAGGCATGAGTCGAGTTGCATGTTCTTTGGACGCAGACTCGTGAACTATTGGCTGGACATACAGCATATTGCACTTCCCTGCACAGTTACGAGTATCTTCATACAATTATGATAGTTATCTCAGATATGACTGCTCTGTATACAAGGAATCTATGTTCGAAGCCCAACCTACGAGTTTTCTTCAAATTACTTCCTTGCTGAATTTCGAGTCGTCTCCATGACAAATCCAACTGGTTCTGTTCCCAATAGCTTTCTGAGCGTCGTCATAATGTACATTGGTACCTCCAATTACCTGGAAAGGCGAGTTTGCTGATAACGAAGTTCTTTTCACGGACATGACCACTACATGCATGATAACTGAAGGTCGTCCATTATCCACCGAATTGCTACCAAGTCTCACATTTTATGGGTCTTCTAAGGCACTAAGCATCCCCCTAAGCCGATTGGACAGAACATCAACATACAAGAATACTGAATATGAATACATGATTTCTCCTTGTCCATAATCCGGCGGATTGATCACGGCCTCGGCGAGCAAACAGGCCTTTCTTATGCACCATAATGTGCGTAGTAGTATTGAGTTGGTTCCTATGTCTGTACATCTTTATGTATATAATTCCATAGCTTAGCATGTCCCTATACCCTGTGGGAGGCCTCAGGAGGGCATGCTTCTCCTGACCTCCGCTAGATGTTAATTAATACAACAACAACAGCAACATAAGGTAGCATTTCCAATTCTGAGCCGGATCGAAGAATTTCTTGTCGCCACATATAAGCCGGTATCGGGAAAAAGACAGGGAATTCCGCCTATGGCAAAGACTTCTCTTCACGAATAGACCGCATATGCTAGCTCAGAATACCTACCCTAATTTGTTTCCATTTCCTTTAGCGGTTCATGATCGCTGACCAAGAGACGTATATTCTCCTCTTGCCCTATTCTCCTTGTTTACCCGAACATGAGCAGCGAAGCTTACTCGAGTACATTGCCTATGATGACGACCAAGTCCCCGTTCAAAGTCATAATCGTGGGCGGCTCGATTGCTGGTCTCACCCTCGCCCACTGCCTCAGTAAAGCAGGCGTCGACTACATTGTTCTCGAAAAGCGTAAGGAGATTGCGCCACAGCAGGGCGCATCTATCAGCATTTTTCCTCATGGGGGCCGGATTTTGCAGCAGTTGGGGATATTCTATCTGGTTGAGGAGCAGATAGAACCATTGCACACGGCGCATCAGTGCTTCCCTGATGGGTTTACTCATACTACTAAGGCCCCACGGATTATTCATGAGCGGTACTGTGCTACCTACGTGTGATTGACCGTATCCACTGCTAATCTGGTTGATAGTTTTGGTTTGCCTCTCGCCTTTCTAGAGCGGAGACAAATGCTCAGAGTGCTTCATGACACGCTTCCCGATTTGTCCCAAGTTTTGGTGGACAAGGCAGTCATTTCTGCGGAGCGGGAGGATTCAGACCTGATGAGGGTCACGACCCACGATGGAAGTGTATACCATGGCAATCTGGTTGTCGGTGCTGATGGTGTGCACAGTCGAGTGCGCGCCGAAATGTGGCGGCTGGCCAATTCGCAAAGTCCAGGTGTATTCCCTGAGCATGAAATGAGCTGTGAGCACTGTAATATTCAAGAAAGATGCAATCGAATAAGGCTGATTACTTTTTTAATTTTAGCGATGACAGTCGAGTTTGCCTGCGTTTTCGGGATCTCGTCTTCCGTGCCCAAGCTGAAAGCAGGCGAGCAAGTGGCCAGCTTCAACAATGGTAGATCGTACCTCACGTTTCCCGGGAGAAACGGTAGAATCTTTTGGTTCTTCCTGCTGAAGCTCGACCGGAAATACTCGTACTCAAATGCTCCGCGCTTCTCCTCTACAGACGCCGAGAAGATATCTGAGCGGTTTGCCGATGACCACATCTGGGACGGAGTGTGTTTCCGAGACCTATGGAAGAATAGAGAGGTGTTCTCTTTCGTGAATCTTGAGGAACATGTGTTTCGAAAATGGCATTGGGAACGAATCGTCTGCATTGGTGACAGCATGCACAAGGTAGGTTTCTGTCTTCGGGGATATGAACTCGGAATTTTGATCTGACATGCCTCGAAGATGGCCCCAAATACAGGCCAAGGGGCCAACACCGCCATCGAAGACGCCGCTGCCCTTGTGAATTGCCTCCACCGGGCTCTTAGAGCAACGCCTGATGGTTCTATTTTATCATCGGCTGAAATAGATGGTCTCCTCGCAGAGTTCAATCGAACTCGATTTCGGCGTTTACGCGAAATCGACCGAGGAGCCAGGATGGTTGTTAGATTGCAGACAAGGCAGAATCTCTTCCTCCAGTTGCTCGGACGCTACTACCTGCCGTATGCCGGCAATGTCCCAGCGGACGCGGCGTCCAAGGTAATCGCCGGAGCTGAGCACCTGGACTTTTTGCCCCTTGCTACCCGCTCAGGGGCCGGATGGTATCGCTTCAGGCCAGGTCTGAGTGGAACTGCCTTGATACCGTGCTTGTATCCGGTTTTGGCGCTTACGCTGTGTGTCCTTGCTTGGATTGGGAACGATTTTGTTCGAAATAGAGTTGTGTTCACTTAAGACATGTTGTGGGTGGATGGTACACTACCATGCAGTCAATTCACTACCTCGCATCAAGGAGTTCAGTCAGCCAATATAGACGCTGAAAACGTTGCCAGCCCTGCCAAAAACCCACCTTGTAAAAGCAAATGATACGTCTTTGGCGAAGTACAGTACACTTCCTCACATTGAGATTATGCCTATTCAATACAACTGGCCTGCGCGTGGAGCGTCTAGTTGAAAAGCCATTCTACTGGCGATCCTGGAGACGAGTGCTGGACACTCGGGCCGATTTCGATGCGGATCGATTTGGAAGAGATATGGAAGGTCGGCTTACCATCACTCAAAGCAATCTACTCGGAAGATCAACGCCAATCTCTCAGCTGCGCCATAGGGACGATAGTCGGCATCATTTCGAATCGGGCCATTGGCTTCCCAAATGGCAAAGTCCAGACCTGCTTATGTCTTCTCTTACCGAGGGTGCTTCAATTCAGACCAACTCAAGAAAGCCATAGCTGGAGGGGGATACTGCGTACCGAGTTGTATACGTGGCCACTCACAGGAACCCCTTTGCTTTTTTGGTGGCCGGGAGAGGGCTAGGTTTCCAGGCATATTATCAATTGAACTGTTGCCATCAGCAGGGGTTATATGGCGTCTTATCAAATGGTCTGTGAGTATATCCAATGCAGTGATAGAATGGGAGGAGTACATTTGTACTACAAGGGAGATGCAGCCTTGACAAACATATTACGTTTCCAGCTTTAATTCAGTGGCTAAATGGTCTGCAGTGAAGAAAGCAGTATTATTTTGGGATACTTGAGATGCATCGGGATCTGCAGCCTTAATGAACCCCGTATACTGAGGAACAATGCTCTATCATAGTCTATACTATTGGAAACCAGCCCAGCCGCATTGTTTGACCAGCAAACTCTACTCCTAGTGCAATTGAACCAACACATTCATAGTGAGGTGGATATGCGTGATGCTCCTGCGTGGCTTCTTGTTACTTCCACGCGACTTGGTCTCTGGGGAAGTAGCAGGCCAAGAATTGACTCGTATGATTTGGCCGCAATTTGAAGGCTTTTTTTTACGTGTCACTCGAAGTGTTCTCTCTTATCCACGCGCCAAGCAGAATGAGGCTAATCAACGGCGCTGACCCTCTAAGAATGAACCGCTTATCCATTTGTACTTTCTACATTTACAGTTTGTCTGGTTGCGCCGGTCCGTCCAGTGCACTCTTACGGCGCATTGTAGGGTCCACATATCTGCCCCGGTCTACCATGGGAAAGACCCAAAAAAATGCAGAGATAGTGATGTTTGATAGCCATGTGCAAAGTCAAGCGGAAGAATGGACGGGGAATATGATGTTGATTCATCAAAGAAAACGGATACAGGGTTCTACTATGTATGAGGGAGGGCAAGACAAGTCCATAAAACTTGCTAGAGCATTTGGACGCAGGACTTTGAATGTCCAAAGCATCTACAAGTTGGGGTGCGTTAGAAAATTTTACTGGTCAATATCCAGTAGAGCCCAGCCTGAGGTGAGAATATTTAATGAAACTCGCCACCATGTCCTCTACATACTTAAGTTGAAATGGACGAAGCTCCCCACAGTACCTTGAACGTCTCGGTGGTCGTCCGAAATTCACGGACTCCTTTCCATTCCTTGTCCAGTCTTAGGCAATTTAGTGTCTGGAATATTCACTGGCCACCGAGCCCCACGCATGAGCAACATACTCTTCTTGTTCTCTAAAATGCTGACTTCTGACGTCTTCCACCTTGAATTCTGGACATCCCTTCTTTGACGTTGCTCTTGAAGTGTGTTTGGAGTGAGTAGAGTGCTTTCTTTCCTCCAAATCAAGTCCTTAATGTCTCGGCTGATTCACCGGAGGCGATATATCTTTCAGAAATGTTTTGATATCTTTAAGCCTTTTCGTCTCTTCAGTTTTCAGGACCCATTTAGACCCGCCTCTCAGCTTCATCTCTTCGTATGGATTGGATGCTATCCATTTTGACCATTTCTGGATCACTGCGATGGCGTCAACCGGTGCAATTTCAAACCATTCAATGTGCTGCTTCAAACAACCAGTGCAATAGATTCTGAGCCGGCGATGATGCAGCTCCGCGTGACATAAGGCTTCGACACGGCGGGCATTGGGAACTTTTTGAGGATTAGGTGAATCTGGATAGAGTAATTTGGCAGCTCTGTTGCATGCGAACGACCACTCCTCATGACGCTCGGCCGTGGTACGACAGGTGTATCCGATTTTGATGAACCCTTTGTTTCCTTCGACCTCATACAGGTATACATATCCAGGCTTCAGGTCGCCCGCCTTCACATCTAAGCAGCTCCTCGCTTGCGCTCCAATCTCTTTATATGCCAGTTCGCTGTCGTTAAGTCTGTCGCTCCTTTCTATAATGCTGAATGGGCTTACATCATATGCAACGGGCCAATATTCAGCTGGATTCATATTCAGATTCAGAGGCGATTGTCGTAAGTGCCTCGGCATTGAGACAAGCCGGTTTTGAGGAGCTGATGGTGTAGCGTCGTCAGCCAACTTCGCACGCTCAGCCAGCCATGTCCTGTGAATCTCCATAACCCTCGATTTCCATAATTCCACATGTTTGAAAGGTTGTTTATCATGGAAATAGCAAAGCCTATTATGTTCAAAAACTCTGACGAGGTAGTCAATTTCATCGGCGTTTTCTTGATACGTCACTGAATAGACAATCTGGTTGATGGTGCTAGTACAGTTCTGCACCTTCTGGCCCCCGATTTCACGGGAACAATCTTTCTGCGCTTTTGTTTTCCCTATGCATTTGGTAGACACTCCGTCTAGAGCCTTCGTAACCTGCCTCTCTAGAGACAGACGAGGCTTGGTGGCGGGATCTCCGTCAGGAAAAGCAGTTATCCATTGCTCGACACGAGATTGCATGGAAGCCCCATGGTCATGGTACCGGCAGTGCACGAGCTTAGCGAGCTTTTCTAGCTTGTCCTGGAGTTCTAGAGATGATGAAGTGGAAGTAAGCATTGATTCAATCAAGTAATCGATTTTTGCCTTCTTCCCTTCCGCAATAGGGTTTTTACAAGGCTTCTTCAGTTTTGTGAGACATCCACATCGTCCATTATCGAGACTAAGCAGGGTTTTCAACGCATCATGGTCAATTTTGGCTGTGTCTTCTGCGAGCTGGCCGTCGCTCGTCGACTTCGATGTGCTCCGGGGAGGACTTGGCGGAGGAGTGAGAAGTACAGAGGAATCAGCCCCAGATGCCCCGCCATCCTTGACCTCACTGTGTCTTTTGTCCTTATCAGATTCCTTGCAATTATCGGACAATTTTGCCGGGGACGGGGAATTTGGAGGGGTTGGATGGACTGATTTTGTTGCCTTTTGCAACTCGGAGACGGTCAAGGCAGCCAGGCCATCTACAACCGGATCGCTCTTCGACAACATGGAGGCGGACTTCTTATCAAAATCTCCCAGATTCATAAACAAAGAGGGATTCTTCTTTAGAATAGGTGAGAAGGAGGTGCTTGCTCAAGCGCCGGGACTTGACTGCTCTTGATTGTATTTAACTGAGAGACTGGATATGCAAGAGAGGTGTCTCGGCGGCTAAAAGTCGCCGTCCATCAGAACAATAGAGAAGCGAAGGCGCCATCTTTGAATTTAAGCAAGCCGTATTGGGCCCTTTTCAGAGGAATGAAACAAGTTACCCCGCCTCGAAGAGCAAGGGTCTCCCATGTTAGCAGCAAATGAAACTGCTCCTAAGTAACTAGCCTTGAGCACGACCACAAGCTGAATACTGATCAGACGGTAATCCGTTTAATTTTATGTTTTTTGCGACGGCTCCCAACAAAGTTCATTCAAAACAATCATCCTCCCAGCCTAATGAGACACACGGCTCTGAACTGGCAGCTTTGATCTGCCCAGGAAGAACTCCTGGAGCCCCTCAATTCTGCAAGCCCAGCTACTTACCGAGCTCCTTAGGAAAATCTCACCTGTCTCGGAATAGGACCTTGTGATTCGGGTGGTCTTGTAAGGTACCGTGTGATCTCGATGTCATGCGGCGTCTAGTCAATGGGCCAGCCAGTATTTTTCGGCGCTGCTTAAAGCCTTTCAGTGAGGGCTTGACTGATCAGCTGCTAATGGAAGTCCAGGTTTTCGCTCTTCGGTCTGCCCTAAATGGAAGTATTTAACCTGATATTAATCCAGGCTGTCAGCCTTGCTTGTCTTCACTACGCTATGATTCGTCAGCCACGACATACGGCCAAGTCTTTGGTTTCATGACACCTGTGGTTATTTCTCTCAGCCACCGACATGCAGAATAAGGCTGATTAGTGGTAAGTGACCATCTAAAAATGAGCCACTTATCCATTGTACTAGCCCCTGATCCAGAGGACATCTATCTGAGTAGATTAATGCCGCCAGGCTGGCAAGCTAGCTCACCATCCTGCCACAATGATGAGGCTACACCCTGTTCTCAACACTTAACTAGTAGCATAATATATATACTTACCAGAAATGTATCTGACTGCCCAGAAGAGGAGTATGGGTAGGTCGCTAGCTATCTAGCAGAAGACCCGTCCTAAAGGCCGCAAAATAATCCGCATCTCGCCGGGCGTTAGGACATATCCCAACCCGCCTTAAGCCAATTTCGAATTGTCAAGTCAGAGTGGGCCAAGGAAAGGACGAACACGGAGCTACCTACGCCATCTGTTCGGAGATCAACTAGACCATCTGTGTTGTGGACGAAACGGGCTGGACTGCCCCTTCGGAACTGATTATTTCTTTCGGCTATGACCATCGAACTTCGTCTAATCAAGGCACTAGGTCATTCTTCTTCCTGCTTGATTCAATGTATGGTTGTCGAGCAAGAGAAGTAAAAAAGGAAGTAATCTAGATGCTAGATAACTTCTAATAAAGGACTCTCTATCTGGGAAGCTAGGGATCTTATCCAGGCAAGGAATAAGTAAGATAATAAGATTAGGGGGTTATCTGCTAATTCTGTTAATTCTTCACCTTTACCTTTAGAACCACCAAAATGCGCGCCACCAAGGTGTTTAAATTACTTTATTATAGGAAATACTAGAGTTAGATGCCCTACACGCAATATTAGCTAGATCTAATGAAATAATATTCTATTTTGGTTGATTTGGATAGCTTCGAATTGAACGCGTTGGATTTGGAAGGGGGGTGGTCCGGCTCGGGCGGGTGTCCGGCTCGGTTGGAAATTACGTTAGTGATCCTTGGTTACGTCAAACAATCTTGCGTGGTGAAACTACAGTGGCGGCCAGCACACCCACTGTATATAAGTTGCTCCGTCGTGCCATATTGGTTGATTGAATTCGGGCTACTATGCAGAGAATTTCTCTCAAAAGATGCATATGTTATCCCGCTGCACGGCTGGTGCGTCCGCATGCATTAGCCTATTGTGATTCTGGCGAGGACTAGCACCATATAATTGAAAATATCCTTCTCACTCCACTTTCCAAGGGTGCCCTACGTGTCGGTTTCCTGGCCCTGTTTGATATTCTCATCGCCGTACGATCCGGCTCGGTCAGCTCTGGTTCCATAAGCCAACTATAGTTGATAATGAGAGTCAGCAACTGCTTGGCCCTCCAAAGGCAAAAAGGAAAAAAGAAAGTATATATCTCCGAATTGGATAATCCTTCTTGATTGAGGTCTTTCGGCATTGCCATCAGTTACTAGAACCCGTTGATGGCACGTGGACTCTGACCTTAACGACGAGACGTTATTCCATCTTTCTGAGAGTTATCCGTGTACAGCAATTTCTCTGACTCAGTCAAAGGAATGTCTGGAAGCGAGCGTAGGGTTTTTGAAACCCTTTTGTATGCCATTCCTTTCCTTCTCGCTCAGAATTTAGTAGCTGCCATTGTGGTTCTGAGAACGAAGAAGAACTCAGTTTTCAGGTACATGTGGATTGTTTGGTCCATCTTTGTTTTCTCTCGATGGCTTCAAATCCCGATATCGCACGGTGAGAGTGCCACATACACCACTAAGGTGGGAATCCAGCTTTTCATGGTGATCATCCACGGCTTCAATCTCATCTTGGTCAACCCGCTGGACAAGCACGAGCTTCTTCAGACAAAGACCATTGATTCAAAAGATCATTTCCCGTGCAAGACGTACAAAGTTGCCCGTCTTTTTATATATTTGCGGGGCGTGCGAACACCATGGCAGGTGAAAAGGATCCCATCGCACCCGAAATACCTCGCACAACAACCGAAAGCACAAATCTCTCGCAATACATTTCTGATAAGGCAGGCTGCTATCCTGGCGTGGCTGTACTTATTCTTAAATTGCACAGGCTATCTAGCCGCTAGAGACTCGTCACTACTGTCAAAGCCCGTCTACGGCCTAGACTACCTTCGCGTTTCCAAGGAGGAATGGCGAATTCGAATTATGACCTCGCTGATATTCTGGTTTGCCTTCTTGCGGGCTGCGGTGGATATTGACTATCGCACCGCGTCTATTTTATGTGTTGGCACAGGACTGGACACTCCGGAGGAATGGCCACCACTGTTTGGTCGTGCCAGAGAGGCCTACACTCTCCGCAATTTCTGGGGGTGAGTTGTCACCATACGGCTGTGAAGGAGATCTGCTAACGTGCCTATGTTTTCAGTACATATTGGCACCAGGTGTTCCGATGGCCACTCACCGCGATAAGCAACTACCTGGCCCGGGATCTCCTAGCTCTTCCTAGGCCATCATTGCTCGAACGATATACCAACATCTTCTTTGTCTTTCTCCTTTCAGGCGTGATGCATGTCATGTCGGACCTATTTATGGGCATCCCTTTGAGCCAGTCGACTTCTCTTGTCTTTTTCTGCTCCATGCCGTTAGGAATTATGTTTGAAGATGCGGTTCAGGCAGCTTGGTCTCGACTCACTGACAGTGATCGTCCTGGAAGACCCACCGTCGACAGTGATGGGTGTGCTGTGCCTTGCTGGCATAAGCTTGTGGGATTCATCTGGGTGTGCAGCTGGCTTAGTCTCACAACCCCGGTCTGGTTGTATCCTGGGCAGACGTCGACGACAGGGAAAGGCGTGTTCATTGTCAATGTTTTGGAGCTTGTTGGTACACCGACAGCTATTGCGATGACTGTTAGTGGCGGTCTTGCGGTAAAATATATTATTCGCGGAGAGCTTTAGAGCAATACCGCAACAAATTTTACTCGGGGAACAGGATTACAAGTCTCAGTAGTATCTATTTCGGAAACAGTGAAGTGCAAGATATAAATGACAAAATATTATTAGGAATGAGAGAGATCATTAAGGTATCCAAGCAAATAAACAGGACAACATTGATCGCAAATGATTGACCGTGCGGTCCGGAGATAATTCGGTATTAGTGCTCAATTTTTAGGACTCTGGCGTCTTTCCTCTGCTTCCTGCATTCCAAGCATCCACCACACTCTTGACAAGAGCAAAACGAAACGACCATCACTATGTCCAGTATTTCAACGCTTTATTAGCCGAGGTACGTCTGGCTCTATGGTTCCGTAATCTGTCCAGAATCCACCCTGGAAGGTGTGATGAGGCAAGACGTTTTAAGACTTGGACGCCAAAATAAGCCGAGCGAGTCTGCCTATCGTAAGCTCGGGACTCAGTTGCATCAAATCCATCTTCAAGCCAAATGCTTGTTGTAGGTCGGACTCGAGCTCGACGGCGACCAATGAGTCCAGACCCAGACTTCGAAGCTCAGTTTGAGGGAGTATGTTCTCTGTGACGTTGAAGCTTTCCGACAACATCCTTGATAGCTGGGCAAGCACGGCATCACTGTTACTTATAGGTCGTACCTCCGCATTGTCAAACATTGATCCAGTGGATGATGTACGTCGACTGAGAGAGGATGAAGTATTCCGTGTGGCAGTCGTCGTTCGCGAAGCTCGAGCAAGCCGGTCGTCTCGCAGCATCTGAATTTCTCGACAGAGCGTCCCCACGTCGAATTGTCTTTCATAGAGGGAGATCGGTCTATGAAGATTGAACACTTCTTGAATTCGGTTCTCCAACTCAGTTGCGGCAAGGGAATCGACACCGGCTTCCGCGAGGAGTGTGCTGGCGGAAATCTCACTTGGAGCAGTTCCAGTTATCTCGTGAAGCAGGCCACTCAGTATAGGGTCAATATCTGAGATCTCGCTGTCATCTGAGGGCTGGCGAGCTTCAGTGGCCGGTTTGTAGACCGCTTCTCTCTCGACTGAAAGCTCCGAACTCTGACTGTTGAGACTGGCTCTCTGGACGATTCCGTCGAGGGAAGTGGTGGTAATCCGAACGAACCTCGCGCCAAGGATGGCAACGGTCAATTGCTTACTGGTTGAGTCAAATACGAATGTGTCACTCAGGAGCTCCCTGGGCCCACGGCGTGTTTGTTGAGTATAAACAGTCCATGGGCCCATCTCTGATTGGAGACTCTTGAATGTGATCAACTCACTCAGGCCACAGCAGATGAATACATCATCTCTCTTGCAATCATCCCTGCACAGCGCCAGTACTTCTGCGATCAATGTGACCTGGTCCATCAGGAGCGGATCGCACACTGCTATTTCCGAGCTGTTGCGACCAATTGCCGGCATGTGCAGCTGGGCGACTGCCGCGGTGTCTTTTATGGTCATGGCTTTGATGCCCCTATAGCAAGGCTTGTACTCGGCGACTTTCTCCAGCACTTTATATATTAAGCTTCCTTTCATGGAAATTGCCGAAGGGTCATCAATGATATCCTGGATATGCCTGTAACCGATTACCCGCTGGATCACTGACCACTGGGACCCCATTCCGGATTTGCCATGTCGCTCCTGCTTAAGAGAAATCGTTCCTGTCGCGTGACATATGCTCTGGGCGTCTTTTTCACTGATGATCGAGAATCCCCACTTGCATGGTCCGACGTGTTTGAGCCTGAGGCCAATGCGAACTCCTGGAGCGTGCCCGAGCGGGTTATGGATTTCCAGATTCAGAACCTGTACATGAGCAGACGCCATCGAGCATTCGCAGCCGCCAGAAATGGCCGCAGCTTTAGCGGCCAGCTCGACAAACACTGACACAGGACACAATACCTCCCCAAGGACTTCGCGGCCCTTCAGGTACCTAATAAAGTCTGAATGACAATGATTGACTCCGAAATGCAATTTTCGCGGTTCTCCTCTGAAGCCTTCGTCCCGCAGCAAATAGACTAGTGGCTTGTGTTGGTCAGAAATGATCCTCTCCCACTCAGAGTTGTTCTGGCCCGCTATATCAGAATATAAAAGCCAGAAAGCTTTCTCGTCAAATTGGTAACCAGGAACATCATAAGAGGCAAAATTTGTCTTCTCTGTGTTATGATACAGCCAAAACTGCACATCAAGGCCTTCATTCCACATCCGCATCGTGGTTTCCGTTAGTGATGCCAAAGGTTCTGATGAATCCAGTTGTAGTCGATGAAAGGAATGCCCTGAGCTGTTCTCGATCCCAAGGGCGCACTTCACAAGTGCTATGCCTCTGGATCCGACGCCTCCTTCAACCCATGTACAAGGTCCTAGTTCTTCGTTAACTCGAGAAATAGCATCGAAGAAATATACCGATTCGCGCGAATGACGAACAACCATTTCGGGAGTGAACTCCTTCCAGCTACCGCCCATGGAACATGTTTCGATTGGAATATTCGGCGTCGCATATGAGATATTCCGTGCCAGAACCATATAGTCATCCAGCAAGCAGTCAACCAGCTCAGAATGATAGCCGTGAGTAGTCTTTAACCTTCGAGTCTTGCAGGATGCCTTGGCTTCGAGGGTGTGAATGGCTACTTCAGTGCCAACAAGAACGTGGTTCCTGGCCCCATTGAAGCATGCAATCTCTATCTTATGATCTGGGACTGAGCGGGCCAGTTCGAGAGCTCCCTGCCTGTCTACCTCAACGGCAAGCATACAGCCCCTTTCTTTGCCCCATTTTTGCTGGATTAGTCTGGCTCGCCCTGCAACTAGCTTAAGAGTATCGGCAAGTGTCGTGATCCCTGAGATACACATTGCAGTGAACTGGCCAATGCTATGGCCTATGACACGGTGGACGGATAAGCCTGCACCAAGCCAAGCTGCGGCGCAAGCGTACTGCAACGAGAAGAACAGGCAATGAAGGAGCACCACATCCTCTATGGGCTGTTGGTCAAACAAGAATGGGGTCAGGCCACGGTGGCCCATCCTGCGGAGGATACCGTCGCACTCGTCAATGTGTGATCGCAACAGCCTTGAACCTTCATACGCAGCTTTGGGCAGGTAGACAATGTTCCCGGTTTGGCCTGCAAAGACCAGAACAACCGGCTTGGGCTTGATTGAAGGCGACGATATTTGTTCATGTGGTCTCGCCTTCTGTCCAAGAATGCTTCTCAAGTCACTTAGCGAACTTGCAGCGAAGGCGATTCGATGTCGAAGAGTCCGATTCTGCTTTCGAACCACATTGAACGCGATATCTGACAATGGGGCGTGTGTATTGTCTAGCCAGTGACTAAGGGCAGTGAAGTACATCTTCAGACTCCTTTCTGATTGCCCAGTTATCAAAAATGGGTATCCAGAGAGTCTGTCATTATTGCTAGCACTAGACTCTGGCCGAGGTGGCTCGCAAACAATCACCGCAGCGTTATTGCCCGCTGCACCATAATTGTTGATGCAAGCAGCACGGAAAGTGGCCTTCCATTCGAGTTCATTAATTGGGACCGACAGGTTGTCAGGTTCAAGTGGCGGAATCGATGCATTCAACGCAGTAAAATTGGCCTGTGGTGGTATTCGTTGATTTCGAATCATCAACAGGACTTTGAGCAGCCCTGCAATTCCTGATGCGGCTTCTGTATGTCCGATGTTGGCTTTGACAGAGCTGAAATGCAATGTAGGTCTCGAACCCCCAAACACTTGTCGAATACTTCTGCATTCGACTGGGTCTCCCCGCGGAGTACCAGTGCCGTGAGCCTCAACGTAGGTGATGTCCTTGGGTTGCATTGCTGCCAGAGACAGAGCCTTGCGATAGAGGTTGACCTGTGAGTGTGATGTTGGGACAGTAATTGCGTTGTTGCCGTCGCAATGATTCGCTGCCGATCCGACAATCACGCCTAGAATATCATCATTGTCGGCCACAGCGCATGATAACTTCTTCAACATGACAAAACCACATCCTTCTCCACGGCAATAACCATCAGCAGAAGCATCGAATGGACGGCAAGGACCAGTTGGACTCAGAAACCTGGCTGCCGCCAAGTTCTCTTGCATATTCGGGCAGGAGATTATGTTGACTCCTCCTGCCAGGGCCATGCGGCATTCGCCCATCCTGATGTCCTTGCATGCCTGATGGATAGCCACAGCTGACGAAGAACATGCAGTGTCAATGGTCATTGATGGTCCCGTCCACCCAAAGTAGTGACTTATGCGACCGCTCACAAAGGCTCGAGCAGTGCCTGTGAATGAAAATGCCGTTGGGGCATGAGAGCAGACGTTCTGCTCATAATCGGAACCTCCGACACCAACGTAGCAGCCAATGTTCTTGTCTGTGAGGTCGCTCCCGAAGTATTCAGAGGACTCAACAGCTTGGTACGCCACACGTAACGCAATGCGCTGT